CAATCACCCTGACAACCACAGGCTTCGGGCTTGCATCCTCTCCCTCCCCATCACACAGGGCTCTTAGAGCTTTCATGTTATTCACGCTGCTTCCATGTAATTATCCCGAAAAAGTTATCAAAGCTGAAAGTAAACTAAGAGAGCAATCAGCCGTTTTTAGCCGTCAAACACATGACAGTTTATGTAACAATTTGGGAACATTTGGGAAAATGCTTATTCGCTTTCGTGCCAATGCCAAGAGCTAGATGAGAAGATTGAGAAGTCTTTTCGTTAGCTTAAATACAAGAAGGGGGGATGGTAAGCTTAGCCTAGCAAAAAGAAACAAGGGGAAACAGCTGGTGTGGCACCGTCCAATGGTAAGATTATCTCGTGGCAGGGTGCAGTGACTTCCTGGAACCTTGTCATCACTGTGAGGTTCCCAGGCAACCAGCAGAGACTTGAGGAAGTCACTGCTCCAAGCCCAGAAATAGTCCGGCACACAACTCGAAAAACATTGGTTTTACACTTAGTTTTTTGTACATAAAAGAATGACTTGTTAATTACTGAGCTATAGAGGTTCTGATAGGTTGTTAGCGCTGGACAGAGCCAGACTAGCTGTTTCTACCCCCCGTTTCCAGTCTTTATGCTAAGCTAAGATAACTGTCCCCTGGCTAAAGCTTTCCATATTTAACAGACAGACATGAGAGTGGTATCATTGACTTATCCAACTCTTGGTAGGAAAGCAAATAAGCGTATTTCCCAAAAGGTCAAACTATTCTATTAAAAAAGCACATCTAACATTCCATTTCAATTGGTCTGCATGACCTTCATGGTCTGGAGTGGGAAATACTGCACTTTACAGTCAGCTTCAGGGTTCCCCATTCATCCAAGGACCTAGTAACAGTCCCCTCTCATGAAAATGTATTTTGTATAAAATGTTAAAGACAATTAAATTGGGAAATCCAATATCCATGTGCAGTGGCTTGACAGGCTTTTTTTTAAATTCTCAGTTAAATTGAGCATTAGATTTAAGTTTACTCCCACTGGTGTCCTTTATCTTATTTGCTGTTTAAGGTATTTCTCCACTGCTACCCCACATGCTACATGTAAGTGAGCAAATCTAATACTTCTTCATGAATGATGAATACGGCTCCTTTTGCATGCATGCATAATGTACATAACGGTAAGAGAGTCAAATATAAAGAGGTTTATATTATTAAATATAAGTTATTTTTAAAAATAAGACTTCATCAGTCCAAGCTGAGGAGCATTGATATTTATTTAAAAATTCAACGGACATGACCACCAGTCATTCCCAATTACATTTATTACCGGTGAATGCCAGTCACTGAGACCTCTAAATAACTTTTGGCCTCACAGTTAAAGCCAAAAAAGATTAAACTGAAATGAGTTATCCCGATCCAAAGTTAGAAGAGAAATGTCTTTAATCATTAAACCCAAAGGATTAAAGGTGGATGTTAAGAAAAGATTAAAACAAAATTAAGAAAAAGTAGAGGAAGGCATGAGAGAGTAAGAGTGAGGTGCATTCAGTGTGTACAGTGATTTTGTGCACAATGCTGCATTCACTGCCATTATAGCACTGTAACTAGCCACTATAGCACATACAGAAACAACTGTTACAGTACTGAATGATCCCAATTTTGTTTTTGTTTTTTTGTTTTTTTAATTTTAGAGAGGGCAAGTACTGTTATTGGTTATCTTCTAAAGCCGTGTCCAACACTTCAAGAGGCAGAATGATGAACCATTGTGATCAACATTTTCTCAAGCAACTGCCTGATTGATGGATCGTAAGAGACTCAATGAGGTAGTGTGAAACAGTTTGCGGAGTTTAAACAATCCTGAGACAACATCCGACTTCAGATTCAATCAATCATAAGTCAGAACTGCGATTATGTTAACACAGTTGCGTAAAAGTTACATTTATTTTCATTTAATTTCAGCATTTTCAGCATTGCCATCGGGGCATATTTGCAGTATCGCTGTAAATGTAAATAAAAATACAGCTTTTGAACATGATTCCAATGTAAGTGAATGGGGACAAAATTCTAGGTTAAATTAAATTTGGTCCTAAAAAGGCTGTAAATACTTCAAATTTGTATAAGACGGACAGAGGCAGCCAGTATTTTTTTCAGTGTACATCTGGCAATATGAGTAGTGTTTTAACAGTCACAGCAGAGTTTTTTTTACGGCTGCCACACTGATACAATGGAGTTGTATGCACCAACAAAAACAAAACCAGACAAACATGGATTTTCTTCAATATGCCCTTGAGCTAGGCATTTATCTGCAGCTTTACTTTAGTAGGTGCTTTCTGATCTGAAGAGCACAAAGTTTTTCTTTTCTCCAAAGTTGAGTGTCTTTGTCTGGTAACATCTCCTCTCCGCCTCATTGTCATTCTCTCTACTCATAAAAAGTCTGCTACTGCATCTACCACAGCGGGCTGAACGCTCTGTCCATTTAACGGCAGCAAAACAATGGAAAAGCCAAAGTGAGTCTCCACAGCTTAAAGTGATTAGATGAGTTTCTCACTAATCCCCACCTTGAGCAGGTAGGAGAACGCTCCCAGGGCTACCAATCGATTTGATCCAAACACTCACACACACACACACACACACACACACACAATAAAACCCTTTCAGCAATCACCTCATCAAAACAATTCGGGAGACCTAAACTCATTTTAATTCCACCTCTTTTTTGTTTCACACAAAATGGCAATTACGTACAGCGTAATAACGAAGCTGCCAAACGATGGGACCATTAAGGGAGCTGACACAAACAGATCGATCGGACATACAACAGACAGGTAGAGGAATGAGGGGGGAAAAAAATCTTTACACAAGACAACAGGCAAAAAAGGAAGAGTTAAAAAAAAAGAAGAGAAACTAGCAAACAAGCGTGCACAAAACAAACAAGCCGTGCTTTGTCCAGGCAGCTGTGACGGTTGTATTCTAAATGGGCCATTACAGCACAAACAAGCAGCGCGCTCATTGATTGTAGGCCCTCAGGGATTGGAGTCACCTGAAAGGCTTTGTGGCCTACACAGAGGCAGCGATACCTGCGCGAAGCTCTCGGGAGATTTCAATAAAAAAAAATCCCAATCGATACGTAGTGATTTCTGTACAGGACCCTGTTCTCATGTAGCGTGTTTATTGCAATGACCAATAAGTTTGCCATGTGGTGGTGGGGGCCGGTTTGTGAAAGAGAACCGACAGGAGAACACAGAGTGCCACTAAAGTGCAGTCAAAAGAAACTTATGAGGAGATTCTCTTTCTCTCATTAGAGCAGAGTCTTAACTTTGTGACAACGCCTGCTCATTAGTTTCAAGCCTTACATCTCTAACAAAAACAAACGACATTTTGTTCTGTAAACAATAAAAGTGTATACATTTGTTTCAAATGACTGAATAATTTGAAAATAACAAATGGTATCAGAAACTTTATTTTTGTTTGTGATATTAAAGTGTATTTACACCCCTCGATTTTACAGTCACTAGAAGCACATTCATGTCGTTTGTTAAAGTTTCTGCGCGTTGTTAGCGGCTATGTGGTAGCTACGCTACGCTTAAGGAGGCCAACAGTCCGATATGTGTCTATTTCATCTATTTCATGTCTGTCCTGTTTCTCTTCCTAGCTCCGATAATGCAGGATGACAGTGACCACAACTGTCCAATGAATGACAGTCAGTCTTTTTAAAAGCCAGTGTGAACGTGGTAATGGAGCAGAACTAACAGGACTGGATCAAAACCACCAAACAACAGGTGGGAAAAGGATCTCAGCCAAGATTCTCAACATTCATCTCATCTCATTCATCAATTTGTTCTTTATTGCTCACTTGACTCACTTTGGTCTTTTTAAATGGCATTCGAGTTTATTTTTACTTCATGATACATAATGGTTTTATATTTGCACATCTTTCTGAAAAGATAGGAAAAAAAGGGGGCAGATAAGTTTGATGAGTTTTGTTATTTTAAAGCCTTAAAAACATTCAGGTTTGAATTAATCCTCTGACTCTCTTGAAGAAAAGCCAGGGTTATTAAAAAATATATACATGTATAAGAGCAGATTAACTAAAATGCTTGCCCTTGTCTTTTAGTTTGAGTAATTTGGGAATATAAATGCTTCACGAGATGTGATTACTGAGATTAAAATACAGTGTAGCAAGGGGATTAGTGTATGTGAAGGGCATTTCCCAAACTATATGTTTAAAATTAGATGATAATGCAGGGACATTTTTTTAAAGACAGGAATACGAATGAAAGTCTTGACACACAACCCCCAGTGAGGTTTTAAACAAATGTGGAGGTGCGCTGCAGTGTCAACCTGTTGAATACATCGTTTTGAGGCGCCTGTATTCAAGGAGATATTCCTCCACTGACATCCGCCTTTCAGATGATGAAAACAGCAATGAGAAACAGAGGATCTGTTAAAGTAAGAGCCGTGAGATCAAACGGAAAAGAGTGCACTTTCTTTCTCACACAAACACATAAAAAAGACACATCATGAATAGCTCTATGTTGCGGGAGAAGATGGGCAAGAAAAGAGATATGCGTACATGCACAAAATCATATGCGTGCAAGTGCGAGTCCAGACGTACCAGAAGTTCTTGAAAGGTGTGTTGATATCAAAGCCCCTGCGGTCCAGGTCTTTAATATTGGCAGCAGTCAGTTCCACTTCAGCTATAGCGAGACCTGCTTTATAGTCCTGAAAAAAAACACAAAACAGAGAGATGGAGCCACTTTAAAAACACCCACAATTAATGGCCTTGGTTTTTTGTTCTTTTTACTGGAGTGAGATGAGAAGATCAATACCACTCTCATGTCTGTGCGTTAAGTATGGAGTCAATTAGGCTAGCCTAGCCTAGCTTAAATACTGGAAGCAAAAGGAAACCCCTAGCCTCGCCGCTGTTCACCAAGAAATATTTTCAGCATTTAACTCCTTTTAGAATTAGTTTTTGACATTTCTGTTTGTGTATGCTGGTTTGGTCGGTGCTGGAAGGCAGGCTCGCTGTTTTCCTCCCATGTTAAACTAAGCTAATGGCCTCCTGGCTTCAGCTACGACAAATCCCACAGGTATAAGAGTTGTATTAATCTTGTCATCTAAGTCTATTTCTCCACAAAATTTAAGACAAGTTGTTAGTTCTTAACTTCTTAACTTACACTTTTTTAAATTCACATTTTCATTGTTATTTATGGAAACAGGCGGACAGGTAGCCGTGCACTGGCCAAACCATATCCACCAATATGAGCCTCTAAAGCTCACCAATTAACACATTCTATCTCATTAGCAAAACAGAAGTGTAAAAACAACCGTAGTACAGGGTGTTATGTGTTAATTAGTGAACTTTTGAGGTGCTGGTAGGTGAGTTTTTTTTACCTTTAGACAGAGCCAGGCTAGCTGTTACCAAATGTTCTGTCTTTATGCTTAGATAATCTAACCAGCTGTCTTTATTTACCATACATACACACACACACAGTCGTATCCATGCCCTCGAATATGCAAAATTTCCCAAAATGATGAACTATTCCTTCAAAAAAAAAGTGCCAGTTAAGGTGGTTTGATCGCATTAGGATGCCCACTGAACCCCTCTGGGAAATAGATAGGGAGAATACCTTTCCTGATAATGCACCACCCCGACGAGGACCTGCAAGAGGCGGAAAATAGAAGCACGGATGGACAGCTAAGAAACATGTCAACTGAGCATTAGTCATTGTCTTGAATCACTTTCTCACTTTTATAGGCAGAAAATGTGTCCTGCAAATGTTCAAAATAAACACAGAAACTCAAATGTATTCCCAAATGGCCCCAAATGTTAGGGTCCTTCACTAGACACCACTACAAAGCCGTTTTTGGCCAAATTAGAGGCTCTCTCTAATAACATGGGATCAACAGGTCGCCTCATTAAAGTCACAACTTGTTTCTCACATGGGGTTTGAATGTCATTTGGTCTAATGAAAACTAACAAACACTAAAATAAAGATCCACAATAACTGCAGGGACATTCTCAGTCTCAGCTGCCTGGCGTCTTGTGGGCTGTATTTTTTTTTTTTTGGAAATGGCACTGGACATAGAGTTAGACGTGTGAGAGGCCGGCTGAAAATAACTTGTGACAGACCAATAACGCAGTCATTGGTTTTTTTTCTCCTTCTCACCAATGACGCACAAAACCAAGTGTGTGTGAGACGTGAGAGTTAAAGCAAGACAGAAAGTGAGGCTATAGGGTGTGTTGTTGTATGGAGCGCACGCGCGTGTGTGTGTATACCTGTGTGAAACGGCAAAGCTCTGCGAAAGGCAAAGGTGCATCTGGGGAATCAAACCAACCCAAGCTTTCAGCCTCAGTGTTTTCTGAGGCCCATTTCAGAAATAGGGGTTAGATGCAGAGGCACAGTTTTCATAAGCTCCACTATAACTCTGCATCGCACCCTCCCTTCTCCGCTTCACCCTCAACACTCACAGCAGTTTAGACCGTTTTCTGTAGCCTTGAGCTCTGAGCTGAGACAGAAGAAACAGACAGGAAGACAAAAGAAATGCATCAACACCCACACACATAGGCACAACATCAAAATAGAGCACAAAAACACACACAGGCGTCCAAAATTACAATAGAAAAAGAAAAGAAAATACACACTTTACTCCATCACTGAGGCACATAGACAAAGCCAAAAAATGTGAGTCAAAAGATGGGGGAGAGAAAGACAGCGAGAACACAAAGGAAAGGGGAAGGAGGGAGAAAGCATAAGTGAAAGAAGGTCTTGGTAATCCTTGCAGGGAGTGGGTGAGACGGGTGAGGGGTCAGCTGAGCAGTTGACAGAAAGAAAGTGAGTGAGTGTGTGTGTGTAGAAAGAGCCAGAACAAAAGCAGGACCTGCGCCAATACTCCTCAACAGCGGATCACAAAACACCGCCTTAGCGAGGAGCGCTAAACGCCGCCACGCTGTGCCAGCTATAAAGCATGTGTGTTTTCTGTGCTAGCTGTTCTTCACCAGCAAAACAATTTACACTAATTACACCAAACAAAGAGAGGAAAATGAATCGACACCATCTTTGTTGATTAGGCGCTTTTTGGGAATACATGGCCTAGCAGAGCAAAGACGTGTGCGTGTGTGTTTACGCATGTGGGGGAGAGCGCTGCCACGTCTCTTGCAGAAGTCTTCAACTAATTAGCTGCAAACTTCTCGGTGTAGCCAAATTTTGCAGATTGCAACACAAGGAGGAAGTCACTTAAATATTTGCACGCTGCAGGATTTCCAACCTGATCTTTCAGTGCTGTGTGTGGGTTGGTTCAATTGGGGCTAATGTTGTCAAAATCTTCATTTGACCATCATTAGCCCCAATTAGACTACTTCAAACTAATTTAGAGGACTGCGGCGGAAAACCCAAGCAATTATTCTCCTTCCCGAACAGTTCCTCACAATGATACTGAGCTAGTGGAGTAGAAACACGCCGGCAGCGTGGAGATCAGATCCTATGAAGCATTTTGCGTAATTAAGACACTCTGAGGTTGGAAGAGGACGACATAAGAGACAGAAAGAGAGTGAGACAAGTGAGTCCACTGTACGGCCGGGTCCTAATTGAGCTAAAAGTTTTGATGTGAGGGCTCTGAAGCAGCCGAAACTTGCCGCTCTACCCTATCAATTATGACTACGTACGGTCATCGCTCTTTTAAAGTCTGCATGTTTCTGAGGTTTGAGGATGCGTGACGCGGTAACGAGAGCTGCGGGCATGGACCAACCTCACCCGAAGCCCATTCACGCAAACCATTCGGCTCACCCGCGGATCTGAAGGCAGCGAGCGGGTGTGATTTAAAAACAGAAGGAGGAAGTGGTTTACATGTTTTATTGTAACCTGTTTCACACTGGACTGATATATGGAGACGGACGTGTCGTATGTGCACATATACGCCTGTCTGAAGGTATGCGCATGTGTGCGTGTCTGTGCAGAGAGGGCAAAGCAGTCACCTATACCTAATGACCCTCATCCCTCTCAGGCAGCCAATTAGAGCACTGGGTGTTAGTGGCCGTCCAGCCCTCGCCACTCGTTACCTACCCAATATGTGCCGTGGCCTCCTGCCCTCTCCAATTAATTCACCAAGGATGGAGGGAAGGAGGGATAGGAAGAGGAAGGAAAGGCAGTAAAAATAACTCACCCAATTACAACAGCCAAGGGGTAGGTGGCAATAATGGCGCTCAAGGGTGGGGGGGGAGAGAGGGGCGAAGGCCCTGGGGGCGATTGCTCGTACGCATGTGTGATTTATGCACTTTTCTGCTCACATACCACGTTTAATAAAGTATTTTAAGAGAACTTCATCAACTCAAATCACGAAAACACACCAGATTTCTGCTAAGTGTGAGAGAAAATGGAATTTCTCTCGTACCTAAAATGAATAACCTTTACCTGGTAAGTGCTGAGCAAAGGCCCACTCTGAATATTCAAGCTATGCATCCAATTATAATTTCTTTCAAAGCTTTCCAACCTCTTATTGTGTGAGTCAGTTGCTCCGCAGCACCGAGCGGCTCTAAAAAGAAGCCAGACAAGCAAAGGCGGCCTCTACTTCTATCTCCAATTCCATGTCCACTCAACAGCTTAAGATGCTCTAAAAGCATGCAGGCAAAGACTGTGTCTCGCAGAGGTAGGTGGGTTTAAAAGAGCACACACACTCAATGGAGACAAAAGACTAAAAGATTATTTCAAACATCAAGGAGTGAGACGTCATGGACGGCAAGGAGCTACAATCAATGATAGAGGATAAAAAGACAAATAATTCCACCGAATATGTGGAGAAACAGAAAGAGGCAAGTGATGAATGCACTTGTACTAAACCTGAACAAGAAGCATGTTCATTTCTGGTCAATACTTCACCGAAAAACATCATGTATTTAAGTGAGGAGAGATTTTAAAGTGCAACCAACAGTGAGTAGTCATTTGGTCGACAATATTTCATAAAACTTCACTGTGCATGTGGATCACAGCTATAAAGACTTTATGAGTCTGACTTGTACTTCAGTGTGACTTAAGCTCAGCCAGTGAAGAGCAGTTTTGGCAAAAAGTAAAAGGTTGAGTTTCTAATCCCAAATGAGTCAATTTAGTGCCAACCTGGCTGGATCTGGCATGAATCATATGCTTGTTCAGATCAAACTTTGTAAATCTGATTTAATATTTAAAGATGCACACATCAATTTTTAGCCATGCTAGCAGCGTGGTGGTGACAGTGCTGTTCAGCCTGTCAACCACAGTCCAGACTGAAATATCTCAAAAACCTTTGGATGGACTGATCTGAAATTTTGTACAGACCTTGATGGTCACCAGAAGATAAATCCTACTGACTTTGGTGATACCATTCTGGCTCCAATGGTATCCAATATATTTTGTTAATGTGCAAATAATTGGTGATAATTAGCTAATATTAGCATGGTAATGCACTAAACTAAGATGGTGAACATGGTAAACGTTATACTTGCTAAACATCAGCATTGTCACATTGTCATTGTGAACACGTATGCTGACGATAGCATTTAGCTCAAAGCCTCAGAGCCGCTAGTGTAGCGGCAGACTCTTTGTCTTGTTATATGAGCGATCAATCACTACGTAATGTGTAATGTGAAAAGGCTCCAGTTTTTAGCAAAAAAAAGGTACGCCAAACTCCCTATATGCCTCGTACCAAATGGCAAACAAAAGGTAGAGACTTTGCAGCTAGCCTTTAGCAGCTAAAAAGACATTTTTTTTCCTCAGGAGTTGTTTGAGACCCAAATAGAGCTAAAGGAAGAGTTAATAGAATATAGAATAGAATAAACTTTATTGTTCCTAAGGGGAAATTTGTCTTGGGCACAGTGCTACAGTTTATTGATTCACAGAAACAAGCATACCTCAACAACACACATCAAAAAACAATTACAAAATCAACATAAAAACATCTCAAAACATGGAAGACACTATACAATATTGAGCATTCATAGGTGAACAGAACTATCAAATGAATGCTAATGTCGCTCGATGTATGCCGGATGTGTAAATAAGCACATTCACCATATAACTTTAATGTGTCGTCATGCTTAAAATTTGTTGCGCTGCATCCAGTTAGCCATAAATAAATATAATGCAGGTGTAACTTGCACTCACCACATACAGTAGAACAGCAAGAGTATTTAAAATGTGCTGATTATCTTTCAGCTACATCAGGTATGCCAAAAGAAACAAAACTCATTACAAGACGAGGGCCTTGGTAAAACGAAACACGCTCCTGTGTCACAAATTCTACAAAACGGTCTTGCAGTCTTGGGATGATGTTAATTGTTACAAAGCAGATCTTAAGAGGTGCAAATGAGAAAGAGATTTAATTAAAGTAGAGATTAATTAAATCCTCACTCTTGCTGTTATTGTATACTCAGAGTACCTTTCCCACCAGAGGAGGGCTCTACTGTATGTGTAACTTTTGCTAAGTAGTAGTAAAAGATATGTGGGAGGCATTTTTGTTTCTACCAAGATTGTGCTGGCAATACTGGGTTCCACTAAGCTAGCGGGAACCTAAATGACATACAAGATGACAGCAAGAAATATGATAATCCAACAGTCAATCAATCATTCAGCTACCGGAGTGAACACAAACCAGAGAGGACTTGTGATGTATGAGATGATGAGACACGAAACCCAGGTTGTACCAATCTGCCTACAGTATGCAGCCCGTGGCAGGGAGATCATTCTCGAAGTGAAAACGTGTTTATGTGACACTTTGCACACCGTCTGACTTTCTTTACCTTGGCGTTTAAATGACCTTAAACACAGCTTCATCACGGGGCTTCATGGTCCGTGAGAAATGGGGTAGGGTGGTAGAGGAGGAGCTGGGAGGATGATGTTTCCAATAGCTCGTTCATCATGTTAGATTAAATACTCCACTCCACTGAACTTGAACAGGGCAACGGTCTACTTCCCTCCCTGCACTCTCGCTCTCCATCACGCTCTCTTTTCTCTTGCAAACCACCAACGCTCGTTTCTCACTCATGCGCCCTCTGCACCGAAACGCCCCCGCCCCCTCCCTTGCATCCCTTTCACTTCATCTTTGTACTTCTATCTCCTTTGTGTCTGTCTCTTATTCCCTTGTCTTTCATTTGCCGTCTCCCTTCCCTCTCTGCAAAAGGCACTGCTGCTGCTGCCGCATTTATGCCGGGGATTTAGCTTGTAAGCTGAAATAATACAATTAATTTGTTCTCTCTCTGATTCTCCCCCCACCCACCCTCTCCCCGTTTCTCCTGCTGTCTCAGATCAAGGAAGTGGAAATGTGCTGACATGGAGTGATACCCAAAAGAGAATTCTAACAAAGATGTTTGTTCACGCTAATGAAGAAAATAATGAAAGGCAAACAACAAAACTAAAAGAGCGGGCGAAACAAAATGAGAGCCAAGGAGGGATGGAAATGAGCTGAATGCGGGTAGCATTATCGAATACGCACACAAATACGTGCGAGGCACTTTAAGGAATAGTATTACCAAGTATGAGGTATCTTTCCATCTCAGATAGGATATCTTGCAGCCGGGACAGGAGTGGGCAGAGAACAGAGTCTCGTGAGCAGGGAATATCAGGGCTTTATTGGACTCACATCAAGAAAGACTCAGGAGAAGCTATTACTAAAAGAAAATGTATCTCTTTCTTTATTCTGCAGTTAAGAGGAGATGTAAGTTATCAGAAAGAGCTGTAAGAATAACACCAATAGGCTAGTTAAAGGAGTTCGCTGACGTTATGGGTCCGTTGGTAATGCAAGGGTAAAGCACTACAAGGAAGCCGGTAATATTTTAGCAGTGTGTAAAAATGGGTACTACTCGCGCTGTGAAAACAAGTCAGACAAATTTACATTTTGCCATGTGTTCCATTCCTGTAAACGGGGAGGAACAGTTACCATGGCTCCTTCCAAAGTTAAAAACAGAGATGTGGCTGTGTAGACTGATATCCGACTGATATCGGACTCTGTGCTGAAGCTAGCAAGAGTGGATGACAATGCAGAACTTTCCGGCAAAACAAAAAGGTGGAAGAATCTGTTTTTATAGGAACAGTGGCTGGTGAAGTAATGTTTCAGTGATTCAGCCACACTGCTTTCCTGATCTATAATTCTTTTCGATCAGCTGCAAACCTGTCCCCCCCGTGAGTTTTGTTTTATTAATTCTGTGCAGGACACAACCAGCCACAACTTTACTTTGTGTGTGCAAGCACGCGTCATATATAGGTACCTTCTGAACTTGACCCATGCTAGTGACTAAAAGTCTGCATACTCTGCTCTCCTCTGCTGCTTCGATCCGATTATGCAAGTCTCTCAAAAGATTTATGGAAGCGCAAGAGAAAATCACTGAAAGACTGTGGAAATTCATCAGAAGCTGCAAAAACAAGAACAGTCTAGTATCCAGAGAATAAATATGACACTGAGCAGTTTGAGGGATTATAAAGTACACATGAAGTCAGGAGTAATGGGAATTAAGCCACATAAAGTTTAAAAGGCAGGTGCAGCACTGTTGATATTTATAGGATTTATAGAGAAACTGCCACAGTACTGAGGTTAAGACCAGACTAACCTTTTTTATACCGCATGTGGAAAGTTTTATTTTTCCTTTTAGCCCTTGCCATCTGGGGGCTGGTCACTTATATTTACAGGAGATTTCAGCCCACAAATGTGCTATAGTACAAATACCTCATCAGTCAGAATAACTCAAAATGCTTTGCTTAATAAAATAAGAAACCATGATTAATAGTCCAAACAGCTACTGCATAAATATTCACTTTAACCACGGGGTATATTTAGACAAATAATATGTTTGTGAATACTTGATTAGTTTCTTGAATCAGTGGTTGAGTGCAGATTTAACAAGAGGGGAAAATGGGCTAAAATATAATTACAAATTAAAAGAACACTATATTGCAGAACATGTCTACAATACTTACAATGCAAAAGTGTCACTCAAATTAAATTAGTGTAAAACAAAATGACACTGACAAAACAATAAGATGAATCGCATTACTGCGTATGTTAGTTACAAACCTTCACTGTATACATCTCTCCTCAAAACTGCCGTCACTGTGCCTGTTATGTAAGGACTGATGTTATGACGCGGACTGTGTGAAATTAAAGGAATATGCTCAAACCTACAAATAAACCCTCACATCATTCTCTCAATAAGAAAAATACACACAACTCGTGCATTCACAAAACAGCAAACCCAGGCTTCCACGATTAATAAAGCAAATCAAACTTAAATGAATGAACTCTAATAATCTTCGATGTTTACCACTAATCGGACAAAATCAACCAAAAGGTGGCGCCAGAAGAAAGGCAGTGCTGCTGTCGAAAGGAAGAGATGTTTTGGAGTTGCATTATGGGAAGTGTCGGATTCAGGTTCTTTGCAGATTGACCCATTCTTCTAAAAGTTATCTTGAAACCACTCAAAAACAAAACAAAAAATGGACAAAAAGTGTTTCCAGAAGAGAGACAGTTGTTATCTGAATCAGAAGGATTTTGTCCTCTGGAGATTAGTGTGCACAGATTCTCAAAATTATAAAGGAACAAGTTCCCGTTATGGTTCATGTTTGCCCTATAGGACACACCAGAGCAGTAATAATCTGGCACTTAGGCCTGCAAAAGGGCAAATGGATGAACCAAAAGGGGCACTTGGCACATCAGAGGATCACTTGTGATCACTTGGGCTGACCAGAGGGGCATTTGGTGCTTACTGTGTGACATTTGGGCAACAATGATGCTTGGAAGTGTCTCTTCAGAACACCAAAAATTCTGGCTGGACAAAGGGCAATTTGGCACAAGAGCAAAGAAAAAAGGGCAGGGGCAATTGTTGCCATTTATAGTGCTGCTGGCTGACTAGCCTGGGATTGCAGTACTTTTAAAGTTGATGAGAGGAGCAGGGGACATGTGCCAGGGCCCTAAGCCTTCGACAGTATGCAAAGCCCAGCATTCATCAGCTGGTAAGTGTTAATGTAATGATTGGGAACATCCACCACAGAAGCAGAATGTCAACCCAAAAGATAAGATCCTAGAGACGGGTACTATATCATTAACTCTTTGAGTCAAAATGTACATGGCACAAACACAATTTTGACCCTGCCTCCCAAGTGGGTTAATCCGGTCGTGGAAAGGAAACGATTGTCCCAATTCTATCTGCTAATAAAGTATTGTTTCCACTAACTATATATTCACAATACATTTTTTCTTTCCCCACATCTTTTCCAGTTTGCGCTGCATTGATCATAGTTGCGCTTGCATGTCTGGTCAACAAAGTTGCATAAGTAAGTTGGCTACACTCAGTCATTCCTGTGCTTGTACCCACCATAAATAGAGCGCAATATATCTCAGTGAACCCTGGGGCATTTTCAGACATTATATTTACTGTTTTTGCATTAGACATTCATGAACATCTCTATATCTTTCATGAACATCTCCATCTCTGCCTCATCTGCTTCAAAATAGGCTGTGATTATTATCTTCCCTTTTCAAACAGGAAGCTGTCATCCTGTAGAGAGGATGTCCCGGCGGTGTTGGAAGTACCTGTTCTGTTTTGCAGAGCCTGACTTTACTCCCCGCCAGGGACACCAGCACTCTGCCTTTGTAACCGCGAAGCTCCAGCAAGCCTCGCTTGTTTGTGGAGGAGAGGTGGGGAAGGCTGTTGGAGCGCTTCTGGGCGCCGCAGGCGGGGGGGCGCGTGGCCGTCTGAAGAGTTTCCATCCACTCCTGGCGCTCCCCTGTGGACACGTGCATGAGTGAGACACGGAAAGAGACAAAAAGAGAAGTAGATGCATGTGGGTACAAGTGTGTGAAGGAGTGAAAGCGATAGAGAACAAAATCAAGAAGAGAATCAGACATAGAGAGACCGGGGCATCTTAAAGCCTTTGAATCATATTGTTAATTCATCATTTTTGCATCCCCTTCGGTGGGTTACACTGGCTTGTTGGCTGCTAAACTCCATTTCATACTGATACAGAAATGTTCAGTCTTAAAGAAAAGTAATTGAAATGCAGGATGAGCTATGATTGGTGAAAATTAACTTAGCCCCTGGAAAAAAAAGAATATCCTGCAAAGCTTAAAAGTGCAAAGTCTGGCACTAGAGATATAGATAGCTGCTACTCTGAGCTTTGCAAGCCTCGAGCGAGATGTAGCCGGGGTAATTTGAGTCAAACACACCACCTAATTAAAATATATCATTAAAAAATATGCTTCTAATGAGACGCAGCCATAGTTCTGTGAATCTACTCATTTAGCTCAACCTGGAAAATGACACAGAAAGCTGTGAATACATTTTACAGAGCGGTTTGTTTCACCTGTGAAGGACTAGCACTTTGATTTGTTAAAAAAAAAAGACAGAAAGTTCTTGTGGTTAGAACAACTCCACTAACCCCCATAAAGCTTTATGTTCTTACACAGCACATACACAGTTTACAGTAATAACGGTGGCAGATTTACCTTCGAAATTCTCATTAATTATTGAAACAATGGATCCTAGATTTAAGACAGACGCACAAAAGCAGGATTTTCATTTCTAGCCACTGACTGAATTGATTGTGCGAGCTGAAATCACAACTGTCGCCTCTTAAAGTAAGAGCTCTTTAAAAAAAAGGGGTCTTAAATATGCATTTAGTTGATATCATGCTAACAGATGACTGATGGTCCAGGTAAAGGGTGTAAGAATGCGCTGGACAGACTCACTCACAAAGAAAGATTTGTCAATCACAAGGTAACCACGCCTAAAAGTATAATCTGCTTTATTAACTGTTTTACTCTGAATTGCACCATTATTTACAAAATTAACTTCATGATGTATGGAAGAAGACTTGGAACTAGCATTTGACATCATAAACTCATTAGGAAACAATTTACTGAGCTAATAAATCAAGTGAGAAGTCGGGTAATTTCTCGGGGTAAGGACTGCATGCTATAGTTTTATATTGCAGCCAATGGAGCCGCCCCCTGCTGGCCATTACACAGAACACAGGTTTAAGGCACATCTGCGTTGGCTTCACTTCACAAACCCTTAAAGCTCTGTTAATTATATATACTGTCAATGCTCTTGGCATTGGTTTTTACTTTACTGAAGAGCTAGTTAGCCGGACATGCTAACGTTACAAGCAGAACAAATACACTGTTTAATCCATTCCTTACACGTCTGTGTTTCTGTGTTTTGTGGTTTTGGAAAGGTTAAAATAAAAAAAGACACCACCATTTAAAGCAGTATTGCTAACAGTATTGCTACTACATCCACATGCATATGGAGAAATCCAGAGAATACAGGCCTGCCGTACCTTGCTAAAATATGACTGGACAATCCCTGTTTGGGGGGAGCGTCCCATAACTGGGACTTCAAAAACGATCTGTCCTTGAACAGGACACTGAATCTCTAATTGTTGAATATCACCCTGGATTACTGCACAGCTAAATGGCTCAAGTGTAGCATAGTGTATCATGTTCCATCCCGGGTTTACATTCAAACGACGTGCACTCAAAAGGCCTCTCAGATATCTTTTCTCTACAACTTTTCAAACGGACATAAAAGAAGACATGAAACCGGCTCTGTAAAGCCCATTCCCCTACCACCCAAGACACTGTGCTATCAAAGCCAGCAAAGTGGAAACACAAGAGATACTAGAGGATTGTAAACACACAAGAACACACACACACACACATTACTAGTCCAAAGCAGCACCCACTGTGGTAACTGTTCAATACCAGACAGAAAAAGGAATCAAAACTGTTCTGTAAACTGATGAAACTAAGCTATCAGTCGGGATGGACCTGCAGATTTGTGAAAAGGCAACAAGGCTCCCTTTTTTCCTGACAAAGAGAAACCATAAAGGAAGAAAGTTTTTGAGTAAATGCACTTCATATCAAAAACCTGTGTGGCTATCAACTCATCATCCAAAAACAATACTCTGACAGAATGACACTTTACTGAAGTGACAAAGTGATGCTCAGTGAACGTCAGCGTGGTCGGAGAGGAAATGTATTTTTGGATACCCGTGAATCTGAGCACAGGATGGAGGATCTCATGAATGTTCCCCCCAAACAGAGGACTTGATATGTGTATTTCCAAGCGGTTCTCGTGTGTTTTATTAAAACCGTTCAGGGCACAGAGGAGATGCCTTTACACTTGGTGTGATCACTTCTTAGTTTCATTCTGTTATACAGTATTATTCCTATTATGAGCCGGGTCTTTGCCAAAAGAAGAAAGACCACCGACACAAATCATGTCACCAAAATCAATTGTACCATTAACTGTGTAGGCTTAAAGGCGCACGAGGAAGTGTTTGTGGGAGGTTAACAAATTCTTGAAGCATGCCAATTTAAGAATAGAGAGAATAATTGTTTTGTGATACTTTATTGATTTCAACAAAGTCTTTCCACTTTCTTCCCACTGCTAATCTAAAAGGACAAAAAGCCCTGGAGCTGGTAGGGAAGCACGGTCTTGCTTAAAGCACCTCAGAGCGTTGGAACCAAGACCTCCATTGTACTGGACATCTCATTACCTAGATAACTAATACACATATTTACACAGTTTATAGCCTATAACAGTTGAAAAAAGTCCTATTTTGCACATTTTCTTCAAAAAAGAACTTCAACATTGTACTGCTTGTCCATAGGTCAATAAATGGTTTAGCTGCAGATGCTTGTATTGGTGGTTACCAATTTTCTACAAAACCATCGCCTGTAACCCTGGAAATATATCAAGGAAAAGAAGGCTGAACCAACAGTACTTGGAGGCAAAAAATCTGGCTTCATACAGTGGTCGTGGCAAGTGGGAAACTTTTCAAAGTTTTGAAAAGATGAAAAGTTTGTTCAACACAAATGGATTGTCATGGCACTTTTTTAGGTCTTCATGGGTCCACTTTAGTTACAGGCAACCAAGATCTTAGGTGTGTCAAAATGTCAAATTGTGTCATATAAAGTTTTTCTTGCACCTCACAAGAGCTGCAGTGATTATTTAATGAACTGATCAACAAAACATTTTCTACTTATTACATGAAAGTAAACTGAATGTCTTGTTGAATGAATGAATGTTTTGATCGAACAACAAAAACTATTGACAACTTCATCTTGGACTCAAAATTTTACAGACCAAACGATCGATCAAGAAAATAGTCTGCCAATTAGTTGCAGCCCTTCACTTCAGCAGTCTTTCTGACTGCTGGTAGCTCATTGTGCTGCTTTTAGTGTTATCGCTCTATTTGGGTTTGTTTGGGTTGACCGCGTTTTGGATCTAGCCCAATTATCCTTGGATCTTTTTTTAATTAATTTATACAATGGGTATGAAAAGGTCTTCAATGCGCTATTTCAGGGTGAACATTTTGTACTTTATCAGAAGCTATCATTTGTCATGATTGCACAAATAATCACCAAATCAAATTAGGATGTTTTTCATTTTTAATATGATTTTTACTTTGTACATGTGTGCTATTTATTTTACTTTTAGACAAAAACTGTTCTCTTTTTTTCCACGTTCAAATCTGACAGAGCTAACTGTGAGCTTGCATTACCTTTAGAGTGCCTGCTGGTCTCTCCCTCTGTAGAGGGAAAGAGAAAGGGGGTGGGAGGAGGGAGCGTTCTCAGTGTCATGTCAATCATTTTGTGGCCACTGTCAACCTGATATTGTCCTCTACTGACCTTATTTAGCTTCTTGACTGTGATTTTCTGACCCCCTGCAGCTTTTACCGACACGTGCCCATCTTTGACCTTGCATGGAAGCTTCTCCACTTCTGAGGAAAAGTTTCTCCTCCGAGTATCCTCCCCCGGCACACACTGACCCCCCTCTGAGTTCCCAAATACTGTATCCGCTGCCTGGTCCTAAACTCAGCAATGGTCAGGCTACTCCCCAGATTCTTATGAATTTACAAAGAGCTGATATCAATAATGAATACCCTTCTCAATTATTGACTGCTCTTTACATCACCAAGCTTTACTGTTCCATTCCCACCCTGCTTTCTGAGTTCCATTACCTGTCCCGCGCTCTCTTATTTGCCTGTTCATTTATTCAGGGCCGTTCCTCACTCCCTCCACTCTTTTCTTCGACCCAAGCTGTCAATCTGAGCGAGGAAAGGAGGTGGGAGGATTGAGAGAAACAGTGGCATGCCTATACGCCGGTGTGTCAGCATATGTGCCTCTGCCTTGTGCGCCTGAATGTGTCTTGCATATGATATATGTTTTTGTTTGTTTGCGCATGCAGTCTCGCACATGAACCTCCGGCGTGCTTGCCAAAATTATTTTTGCTCGGTGTGCAAACATGCCCTCACCTCTGCATGCATATAAAAAGAACGCACAGCTACTCTCCTCCACTCAAACCCGACAGCCACATCTACCTTCGGCGCTTGTTAAGGACTGTATGTATAGCCACGTATTTGAAAGACTATTCCACTTTGCATGGGGAGAGACGAGGAGAGAGGCAGATAATCCTAACTGAAAGTGGATGAGATGAGAGCCAGGTCCACTCAGCGCTCGACGGAGATCTTAGAAGCCGCCCACACGGTCTCCATCAACGGGGATAAAATCAGAAAAAAGAAAGAAGAAAAAAATACAGCGAGCAGAGGGATCGTGGTCATTTGCTTTGTTTTTCTCTCATTTCTATCATCTCACCCGCACATACATGCACAACACGGACTTAAACATTTACAACAGGCATACTGGTATGTGATATGCATATGCTGATGAGTAACATAACAACAGCAGTACAGAAATCCTATAGATACTGGTTCTTTTA